AGGGTTTTGTTTGGTATATGATTTGTCCATGTCAGTAATAACCAAAATTTTATACAAGGAATATAATTTTAAACATGCAAAATTTTTCATACTTTGTATTCAATTCATACTTATAAGTTTACAAGTTGATATTTATTATAAACTGTAATTCCATGTTTTAATAAAAATATTTACGAAACTGTAATTTTATAAAAATTATTTTATTCTCTATAAATGAATTTTAATTCAACATCAAATAATTTTATTGAAAATATTGAATTACAGTTTGTAATAAATCTAAACTTGTGAACATATAAGTGTGAATTGCATAAAAAGTAGAAAAAATTTTGAATGTTTAAAATTATATTCCTTTTATAAAATTTTGGTTAATACGGACCTGGACAAATCATTTACCAAACAAAACCCTAACTATCCAGCTACAATTTAGTAAATAAATGGATAAAATAAACAAGACGGTATTTAAATAAATTAAAACCAAAGTAGGGTTGCCATATTTTGGCCGCCCTGTATTATTGTGTTAGTTTTGTTAAATTTTAAATCCAAAGTTTTAAAAATATTCAATAATTTATATCTATAATTATGTAATGTTTGTATTAAATAATTAATATTTTTAAAAATTTACTAATTTTTGATTTGTTATTAGATTGACTTTAGTATAGTGTAGAATAAAAGTTTAATAATCTAATTTTACTATAAGTTATAGTCTATAAAGTATTGTAAATCTAATAACTACGAAATAAATTATAGTTTATATATAAATAGTATTTGAATTATTTTATTTTAGTTATAATTTAATATACAGTAGTAATTTTTCATAAATTCATATAAAAATACATGTTAAATATGAAAAATTGATTTACAGAGTATTAAATACTCCGATATTATAGACGAGTCCGCCGTCGACCACCATATTAGCGCCGGTTATGAATGAGGCATCACTTGAGGCCAGGAATACCACTCCTTTGGCGATATCTAATGGTTGTCCCAATCGTTTGAGTGGTGTAACTGTCTTTGCAATATCATATATAGGGTCCGGTTTATCAGTCGTTTGTATACAGCCTGGACTATTAGAAAACATTTAATTAAGTTAATAATATTAATTAAGGTATTAACATTTTCATAATAAATAAAAAATGCTAATAAAAAATTATTACTTTAAACTATTGACACGAATGCCTTTGGATCCCAATTCAAGGGCCAGTACTCTAGTAATCATATCTAAACCGGCTTTTGCGGGCCCGTACGCCAGAGTTTGGGCAAACTATTAGACAATTTGAATTGTACTAGGGTATATTAAATATATTGAATATTAAATTGATACCGGTGATATTCCGGCCAAACTCGAGATATCAATGATAGTGCCGTTAGTTTTCTCCAAATGTGGAACCGATTCGTGGATCAGTTCGACGACTGCTCTCAAGTCTATGGCGAAGACCTGATCCCAGGCTTGCATTAAGTCTTTTTGGGTGATATTTGTTGTTGCTATTATACCGGCGTTATTCACTAAAACATCTAACTTTCCAAATGTTTTGATAGTATTGCCAATTAAAGTAGCGATGAATTCAGTTTGTGTAAGATCTCCGACCACTTCTAATGGCTGTTCAGTATAAATGAAATTAATATTATTATTACATTGAAATTAATTACCGGTTTTTAAGTTTACAAACCTTTAGTTTCTTTGGTGACAATTCTTGAACCTCTTTGGCAACTCTCTGGACGTCATCGGTTTTCCTACCGGTGACCACAACATTGGCCCCTAATATAGAGAACAGTTTAGTGATCCCCTCTCCGATTC